CGCTGAAGATAAACAACATCTTCCTACACTAGATGTTTTTTTTTTTTTTTAGGGGGGGGGGGGGGGGGGTTCTCTCGCCAGGAATAATGATCACGTCAACTAACAGGTTTTGACAGAATGAGGTTTCACTCATATTAGCATCAAGTGTGACAAGCGAGAAGTTAAGATCCTTGGTAGAATAAAGCACAGACACGTTGACAGGGCTGCACGTGGAGTCCCCTGGTCTTCTCGCTGCAGAAATTTATCATGTCAGCTTATGCTAACAAGGAACAGATTTTGGCACACTTCTTCAATCATAAAAAAGTGACTTTTTCTTTGTTAATATTGAGTGAGTTTTTAGGTGGTTGTCTATGTGAGTGTGCGTGTTTGTGCGTGCACGTGGTTATGAGATGCAAAATCGGCCTATCTATCCCCAGCTCCGGTATTTGTCTTATTTATATGTAAATTTTGGTATATCAGTGTGAATTTGACTCAGCATTTGGGACTTGTGAGTGTGTGTGTGTGTGTGTGTGTGTGGGGTTGTCCTTCAGCTCGCTGTTCGCTGAGATAATTAGCCTCTCCAAACTGCTGCGAGGTTAGGACATGCAGGCCTCTAAGATTCACTAATGATGACTTTAATAACTGCCACGCTGCCAAGCAAGCACTGGATGTGTGTGTGTGTGTGTGTGAATGTGTGGCTGCATGGACATGAGAAAACATCTGTGTGTCAAAATTACATTTCACAAAAAATTTGCACACACATCCCCGGGGGGGGGGGGGGACCCCTCCTCTCCAACAGCCTCCATGCACGTAACCCTGGGCCAGCGTGTCAGGCTTGGGTAGCGGTTAGGTGCAAGTCCAGGAAGGATTATGAATATGACATGTTTTGTAAGGAAGTGAGATGTCCCTTATGGCTAATTACTCCATAGCAACTGAAGAATCCTGCACAGAGAAAGGTGTGTGGGGAACGGTGAGGCACAAATAGTACAAAGAAAGTTCTAATCTTCAGATGCTAATTAGCGAGATAATATTTATATTCTTTCCATCCCAGATTCACACTGGTGAATCTAAAGACTTCTACTCAAATGTTCAGAGCAGCGATGGCAAACTTTAAGATCTGTTTGGTAATGATGTCACCCTAAACATTGGTGTCTTATATGTTTTGGCTGGCAACCTCCTTTTATACTTGTGGCCTCTTGTGTAAGAACTGCAATTCAAGTGAAAAATAATTGCCCTCACAAAGGCTGTTTTCATCTGAATAATATTTCGAGATGTAATGAGGTAAAACTACATCGTATTTCACAAAAAAACGCTAAGATCAGAGAGAAGTCAGAAAAAGAAACACCCTTCTGGTGTCCTGATACACAAGTTGGGAAAAAAAACGGCAACCTCCAGGGTTGAAAAATAAATCCAACATGGAAGTGCTGAAAACTGCAGTTCCTTGAATGACCACTAGAGGTTGGCTCCAAAAACTAAATCCCCACAGACTCCCATGTTAAAATGCTCAACTTTATAGCCCATTCAGGCCCCCCCCAACCATTTCACCGAGGGTAAGGCTTCAAAATNAAAAACTAAATCCCCACAGACTCCCATGTTAAAATGCTCATCTTTATAGCAGAAATAAACATGCTTACAGCCTGGTATAAAACAAACTATATACCTAGCTAATTAACCCCTTCATGGCAACTGCACAGGGGGTGAATTTTCATAAAAGTCGCCCATTTAGGCCCCCCCCCCAACCATTTCACCGAGGGTAAGGCTTCAAAACGGCTCTTCAGAAACCTATGAGTGATGTCACGGAGGCTACTTCGATCTTTATTTGTGGTTAGAAACTGCTGTACTAAAGTAATAATAAAATAAATGAATATGGGAATGTGTAGGTGTTCATTTTTAATATTTATGTGCTGAAAATCAGATTAAAAAGCTTTATTGCCATCTTTCAGATGGATTTTTAAAATACCAGAAAGGACGACTTGACATCGGTTTAAAAGCTTTTGTTAATGTTTAGGCTGAATTGCTTTTGTATTACATCAATCGAAGCTAAATGAATATTTATGGCTCTTCACAACAAAAGGCTGAGAACACTTCACAGCTCAGGACAAATTGTTCATTTGGCAGATGTCAGCCCCACAGTGTTGTAGATTAATTTGTGTTTCATTTAAAGCTGACCCGGGCAGAAACGGTCTCATCGAGTTTAAGGTGAATTCATCCAGCTTTACATTTTGCTGACAAATGACTAAAGCTTTCACAGGCAGCCAAGTTGAAATATCTGAAGAGGGCAGACCAAAGCAACGTGATTCAGAACTGTCAAATCACTGTTGTGCAATGTTATATCGCTGCTCTGACTCTGAAAAAGACCATCGTTAATGTCAGTGTTTGTCAACCCCTGCACTGTTGCCGTGGTGTCTGAAAAAGTCACCAAGAGCAGAGGAATACAACATTTCTACCGGCATCGCAGGAAGATGCATATTTGCAAAAGTTTGGCATGGCACTTTGAAGCGGAAACAATATCTCATTTGGTTGCATCTCAGCTGCAGAGACAGATTCGTACAGCCAGGGCAGAAGAGACAGAAGTACTGACAGAGAGAAGGACACAATCTCACAGCAGGAGCTGAGCTGAGCTGCAGCCAGCCAGGAAAAAAAAACCTACAGGAGGAAGAAGTAGGCCAGCAGCCAGTGGTAAGCAGAGCAGGGAAGAATAGGTTTAAACTCATCCTGTGTCACTCCTGATCCTCTCCCCTGTCCTCTTTAGCTGCTAATTTTCTTGACTGCCTTCCTTCTCCGCTGTTGATGTGTCATGTGTAATTTGAGCACAGCCTCAGGCAAAGGTTCTTCCCTCTTCCCTGTTAGCGCCTTTCTAAATCGGAGCGAGCGAGGAAGCGACGCGGCAAAAGGCCAGCCTCGTCCTTTGAGGGTTGCCAGCGAAAGGACAGGCCATTTAAAGTGTCCTCAAATTCACTTGCCCTCCAGCGTCGGGTCCGTCTGCACCAAGCCAAACAGGGTCTGCGACACAGCGGACCAGTGAGGTGTGTTGATAGAAAGTCATAGTGTGACATAGAGAAATACCTGTGTGTTCAAACATGATCAACAGTGTGGAGACGCAGAATTACATTTTACAAGTCTGTGTCCAAGGGCTCATTGCTTAGTACATTATTAGTTGTTACAATATTTATTACACTAGATAAATATTGAAGCTATTGATAACAATGTCATTATACGATGACAATCGCGGGGGTGAACCAGGACAGTGCAGGTGCGTCCTTCAGGGAACTGAAGAGTTACAATCCTTAAACTATCTTGCTTTTTTAACTAAAGCTGTCAAATAAATGTAGTGGAGTAGAAAGTACAATATTAAATATTAAACCATAAACTCTGTATCCATGTCTGTACTAATCCTCCATTGACTCACTGCTCATGACTGAGCACCAGTGTTTGCTAAAATAAGTTAATATATGACATTTTATATTGGTGATTTGAAGATTCGGAGAGGTGAGCAAACGTTTAACTAACGTTAAAATCGCATCATGAGATTCTTCCAGGCATCAATAGGGGAAATATATTGTAATATTTACAATTACACCAAGAGCGATATATAAATGTTTCAATCACCTGGACCTGTTGTATTTTTTATTTTTATTTTTAATTTTCAATAATTTCCCAAACAGGTTCCATTTCTTTGCGTCTGTGCACAAAGTCTTGTCCCCTTTTCAATAGTTTCTAGATCCGCCCCTGCAACAGCAGGGAAATAGTAGCTCAAATCCATCACCCTCTTTGCCTTGTACACAACAAAGTCTCTCACTCACACACACACACACACACACACACACACACACTGTACACACACTCACTGTACACACACTAAACCAGGAATTATAGCAGCAGGAGTCTTCAAGCGTCGGTGAAAATTTAAAATCAGTAGTGCGTAACTTGTATTTACTGTTGCTGTCTTACTAGTGTATGTGTGTGTGTGTGTGTGTGTGTGTGAGAGAGCATCTATAAGCTAGACAAGATGATGGATTTCTGTGTTTGGCTCCATTGTTGGCTGAGGTGAGGGGGTTGAGAGGTAACACAGCAAGGGGAGATGTGCGGCGTAAAATGGACAAAGGTGGTTGTCTGAGAGGCTGCATGGAGAGCAATTTCAGACAGAAGCTGCTTTCAGGAGAGCCAACAAGTGTGACAAATTGTTTTTATCAGTTGACCTCCTTAAAGTAGTCCAGTTCTGTTTGCGGAGGTGGACGTTGGTGTTGTGGTTCTCAGAGCGAGCTGGGATCAAGCTGTAGTGGACAGGCGCTGTACGGAGAGGGAGAGTCAGGATGATTCTGACGGTGTGTGACTGACAGACATTTTCGGGGCAACATTTGGTAATTTTTTAAATATTAAATTATTAATCCGTCATCATTAGTTTTGAGAAAACTTTCTTTTTCTTTTCTTGTAAACATCCAGAGAGCCCCAATGCTATGCACAATGTTGTATGCATGTCTCGACAGTGTTATGTAACCTGTGGTGGTGATATCTCTGCATGGGGCCTTGCGAGTTGAGGCACTCTCCTTCAATTTTCTCCGTGTGCTCAGAGATTTAAACAGAGCAAACAGCATGTTATTACCCAGTGTTTTGCCTCTCAGGCTGCAGACAATCTCTCTAAACCGTCGCTGCACTGTAGCACAGCTGATTTTATTTGGACTTTGGCCATTGTCTGAATGAATGATGAATTATACAATAAGCACTTAGTTAGTTTTACATAATTTATTCCAAGCATTTCTATATGAATTATGAAAAATCTTGTTTATTTAGTTGCGTCTTGGCGGTCGTCGTTCCTTCTCACTGACTTTTTTATAAGCAAAGACAGTTCTGCTAAATTCATATGAAATTCACACTCATTCTGAAGCATAAAGTCAAACCTATCGCTGCATCCCACTCTCATGTCAAGTACGCACACATACGTGTATCGTTCATGTGCTTGTCTATTCTGGCAGACTTCAAAAGCTCTCTTTCTTTTGAACCCCGCTGTCTGTTTTACTCACTTGTGGGACTTTTTGCCCTCCGTGCCCCCGGGGCCCGAGCCGCAGTCGTGAGCCTGGATGATGAAGGTGTATTCCTTCTGCAACTCGCAGTCCACCAGGCCGCGGGCCCTCAGCTGGCCCTCGCCAGACGTACCGTTCAGCACCACTGCTTTGAACGGAGCCTCCAGCCCGTGGATGTTGAACGCACAGATCTCCCCTAGAAACCAGGAAGAAGGGGGGGGGGGGGGGGGGGGGGGGGGGGGTTAATCACAGTCAATCAGGTGAATTCCAGGTAGAGAATGAATGATGCGTGTGTGTGCGTGTGCGTGTGTGTGTGTGTGTAAATTAGGGTTAAGTGCATGCTACATTTAAGTTTTATAAGAGAAGAAAGAATTACCACAGTGAACTCCGTTTACCTGATGTGTTAAAAGCAGAAAACTGGTTTGCACTAAAAAAAAAACTTTTTACATTGACATTTGATTTGACTGTTCTTCAACAAGTTCATGGTTTAGCTGATGCCTTCCTCAGTGTTCACACTCAGTCTGTCACAGTCTGACAGTTCTCATACAGAAACAAAGTTGAAATAATTAACTCTGGTGGCCATAACATTAATTTATTTATTTTAATACGCGTTTCTCTGAGGATATCATTAAGAGAAACATTTGAAATGGGAAGACAGAATGGAGAAAACCGCTCCCACTTCATATCTCCATTAGAACAACTGTCATAGGAAAGGAGCACGCAGAGCAGATTACAAGGAAACTGGGTGGTTTTACATTGGGATGTCGGAGATTTGGAATTTGAAATCATTCTCTCTTTCTTTCTTGGATTTTCCTCAGTATGTCTAACTCATTGTAACGCCACATATCCCCCTCCTTATAATCTACTCTGTGTGTGCTCTGTGTCTTTGACAGTATCTCATTTATTCCGCTGCGTGACCCTGACACTTCGTATCGGTTTAAAAGAGGTCGGACGGTGACGATCACCGAGCCTTTGCACTGAGGGAGACATCAGCCGTAATGTTCGAGCTTGTTTCTGCATCACAAGACGTGAACACAGGTGTGAACTTCAAAACTTCAAACTTTCTTTAACTTTAATTTACTGTTCCTCGGGACATCTGGGAATGAAAAACAAGCAATTTTAATTTGTAAAGATCTGCAACCACTTAGATGAGGGAAACATTCAGAAGTTGATGTATCCTGGACGAGAGCTGAACTGCCATGAATAGGCTTTCACAGAGTTTCCCCTCTGTTCAGTCACCTTGGGTAATTACCACTTCAGAGCAGTGGTTCCAAACCAGTGGGCCGGGGGTCACCGGCGGGCCCCAGTGGGCCGACAAATTGTTGGCAAAACAGTACAATTCTGGTGGAAATATGATTCTATATAAAAAAATAAAAACATAAATAATGTATTTAAATGTTTTGAAACGAAATGACGTTTGACATAACATGAGGTTTTGTCATGCAGGTTTTGTGTTTGGACCACGTCGTTTACCTGTCTGCTATCTCGGTGTGATTGTTCACTGAAAGATTACATGCATGGCAAAAACTGGAGTATCAAAATGGAACGCCGGTTAGCAACAGGACGAATTAAAAGGAAAGAGAGTGAATCGACAAGTGATCTCTCAATCCTGAATGTCAGTGTCATTCAAATAAAAAGCGCTGTGAGAACATGTTGTATTGTTACGGGTGAGGGTGAGGGCCGCCAACATTTTTGAGATTTTCAAGTGGGCCATGAGTTGGAAAAGGTTGGGAACCACTGCTTACATAAAAAAAGATATAGACAGAACACTTGACTTTCCTAAACACATCAAGCTTACTGTGTTATTGCTCTTTTGAAAAAACACCAAGGACATTCCTGCTGTTCCCCACCCACCCACCCACCCAACCCCATCACCCACTAACATGTCGACATTCTCTCTAGCTCACCCCAAAACAACACACAGCACAATTGAGTTACATGAGGCTCAAAATGCGGCAGCTCAAAGTCACCCTCGTGAAGAGATACATAGGAGGAAAATCCATTTAAATCTAGAGTGAGCAGCTGACAAGAGCCAAAACAAAAGAGCCCAGAGGCGGCTGACATTTATTAGCAGGCCGTATGAGGAAGTGGTCCATTGGTTGGTGTGAGAAGTTTTTTTTTTTTTTTTCTTGGAGAGCTGTCCTTCCCCTCACGCTTCCACTAGTGGGATTTGAGGAAATCACTTAACGCGTCGGGCTCACACTCTGACCTGTGACGGCTAATTGCACTGATATCACTTAAACTAACAGCAAAGACTAAATTGGATTCCCAAGCAGCTTTGTGTGTGCATTGCTCCTGGCAAGTTCTGATAAGAGCAACTTTATTTTCCACTGCTTTCCCCTTTCTCTCCCCTTTTATCCTGTTTCTGTCATAATCCCCTCCACCTCAGCTCACCTCACCCTCCCCCCCTCCTCACCCTCCCTTCCTGTTGGGGGAGGGGGGGGCAGGGGCTCTGAAATGACATTTTGCCTACAGAGGAGCTGTAGGCAAAATGATGAAGAAAAAGTAGAAGGAGGGAAAAAGGAAGAGCAGAAAATGAGAGAAATAGGGAGGGAGGTGGGGGTGTCAACGCTGTCTGCACGCCGTAAAGACTTCCCGCTCTGTATTGCCTGAACAATGACTTATCAGAGTTAAATGGGCCCCCACAATATGGAGAAGCATGGCTCGCCGGGGAGAGCAAAATCATAAAATGGCACTGAGCAAACGGTGTGCGACAGGGAGTGACAGAAGATGCAACAGTCTGGATGTGCGGCTTCTCTCAATAGTGCACCACCGTACAAAACAAGCAAATGGAAAATCCATCACCGCTGGAGCGAGAAATAAATCCAATATACACAGGCAAGTGCAGAAGCTTCCCATCAGGCTGAATATGCTGATATGCTGATGGCGCACGCCCACGATCGAGCCCGGGTGGGCCCCACATGCTGCTGATGGTTTAATTGTACCTGTTGGGTGGGTGGGTGGGGGCAGGGTCAAGGTGATGGCAGGAGGAAGGCCTCCCTTTTTTTTTAAGTACTCAAATGAACATTCAGGAGAGGATACAGGCCTGACACCCTCCTCCTCCTCTTCCTCCTCCTCTTTTTTTTTTTTTTTTTTTACATCCGCTTACTGCTTCGCTCCAGACCTGATAAGTGTTTTGCCACCCGCAGAGAGGCAAAGATGTGGCTGGTGGAGGAGGGAGGGACGAGGGTGGGAGAGCTGGTCCCGGAGGCAGCGGAGGAACAGATGTTGGGCGGCTGGTACTTGGCAGAGGCAGAGAGCTTACCAACGCTCATTACTGCGCTAAACTGTTAGCTAAATATGTGTCTCCGCGTCACATTAGGCTTTTAAGAGGTAGATTTATGGTCAGAAGGAACTTTGTCTTCTTGAAGAAGAAGAGGGGGGGGGAGCTGTTTAAAACTAATGGATGCAAATGAATGGATATTGGACGCTGCAGTGTTATTCCTTTATTAGTTTATTTGCTGGGTTATCATCACTGTTTGGCTATTTAGGATAATGAATTGTTTTTATGATCTTCAGTCGTAAAACTGATTTTTATTGTAACTGCAACACACTAACACCCACACACGCATATAGTTAAACTTTGATACTAACTTCCTTGACTTTTTAGACTCCCGCTATTTGTCTCATTCTTTCCCCCAACCTTATTCTCCACCGCCTGTGATTACTAACTTCCCCTTCGGGCACCATTACGTTTTCATTTAATCAAGTCTAAATTAATGACTGTCTATTAGTCAGTGGGAATGTGTGCTCGGGATCTAAGCTGCTGTCCTGCTGGTGTCAGAAGTCCTGCAGCGCTCAACCCCTCGAGGGAAGCTGGCACCTGTCCACACCAGACTATCTTTGAGGACGCAGAGCTCATTATCAGTGAAGGCAGAGCTGCGTTACTGGCAACAGTAGGCTGTGTTTGCAGAGTTGGAGGAGTGTGACAAAGTATTGGGGGCCACAGCGCCTCAGGGCCCTAAGTTATTATCAAAGCTGACAGAGCATCGCTGATGAGCCGCCTGCATCCGGATATACACACAGGCTTGCTCCTGCTGAAAAGGCGCTCACGCACATAGGTGCATAGATATGCGCTGCAGCTGTTTACTGAGCGTTTGAGTGAGAAGTGAACGTGGAGATATCAGGTGGGAAAACAGTCACACCGCTGAGAGGAAGACGAGGAGGAGAAAGACATGAAGGGGGGGTGAAAGGAGGAGCTGAGAAGGATGGGAACATGGCCACTGCCTTAGGGCAGCTCCGATCTCCCCTACTGGAGAGTGACCAAAGCACAGGCATCAGTACACACACACACACATTTACTCAAACTGTGCCAGTTCGGCAGCTCTAATCAGAGCTGACATGCCTTTCATCCTCCTACTGTTGGAACACACACCGGATAGACAGCAAGTAAATCAGATTACTGGATATCAGACTGTTATTGAACACATTCTGGACCAGGCAGCGGTTTGCTGGCACCAAAATGTTTGCACTCACATTAACTTAATATTTTCACCCGTCATTATTAGTAAATCAACCCTATTTGAACAAGAGTTGCTGTCTAGTTTGCAGTTTACACAGTTGTCATGATTTCAGCTGCTTTTCCAATTTGGATTTGGCATCAAATTATCTCTTGTATTAGTCACCCACGTAACCTGCTAATTCTCCTTCTCATTTAAGTCGCAAAAACAGAATCACACATCCACAGGCACTCTGGGATACACGGATACACACTCACTCGCGCACACACTCCAGCCCTCTCAGCTGCAGTGCAGAGATAGACTGTCAGCCTCATAACTCTGCAGAGGGCTGAAATTGAAAATGCTGTAATTATGCTCTTCATGAAATTAGCCAGCCGAGGAAAAAACACAATTGAGAAGCTGTCCATTTTGGAGATAAGGATTAATACTAATCAAGCTTGCATGTTCTGACTGGAGCGCGAGAAACTTAGAGTGGTGTTGTTCAGCGTGTGTGTGCGCGTGTGTGTGTGTGTGAGCGTGAGTGTGTGTCGGATGGGGGATTTTTAATTAAAGACACACTTTCTCAACGGGGGTTTAGAGACGGAGGTGGGGGTGTGTTTGTGTGTGTGACTGTGGAGCGGGTGTGAGATGATTTACTCGACCTCGCGGTTGCCACCTCCCTACCACCTCCCATCCATCGTCTCCTCTCTGTTAATTACATTAAAGGCTCCTCTCACGGAGTTAATGACATCCCACT